ACCTCATGAAATAAACAGAAAGCACAAAATAGTCTCCCAAACAGCAACTCAACAGATCTAATCTATCAGCAAACCATACAGGTGTAGAGTGCCACTCTTAAGCTGTAGGCAGATTTTTAAAGGATGTTAAAGCTCATTTATTGCACAGTACTGTATGGCAGCTGTATCAATAACTCATTTAAGAGATATTGTTTACGAATAATGACTTTTTATCATACATAGAAAAGTTAATTGAAATCCTAGAGAATTGTGAAATAAAAGGTTAACATCTATTTAAACAGTGAAATAATATCTTCTGATAATTTACAATAAACACAATCCTTTGCTGTATTCTCATGCACAGATGCTCAGCATTTGCTGGATATTTTTTTTTTAAAGATGATGTTTCTTTTTGAATATGTAAGGGGACTGTTACCCCTTACTAAAACTCTGTGGGAGTTTTTTGGTTTACCAGCTTCAGAAGGGGAAGGGTTCATGAGACTGACAGACCCCAGAGACAATGGAAAGCAGTCAACACTCCAGCTCAGCCTGACTGACAGGTTGTAAGTGGGGATTGTTCTGGCTCTGTCTCTGAACAAACAAGCTGTGTGCAGAAGAGGTCCTGCAAAGACAGAGAGCTGAAAGAGGAGTACAAGAAGAAGTCCTGCAGCGACAGAACCAGACACAGACAGGCCAAGCAGTGCAGACCCTGTGTTGAGCAGCAGACTGGCAGTGCTCAGAAAGCCAAAAGGAACAGAGAAACAACACAAGGAGCTGGAACTGGCCAAGCAGCACAGCCTGCAGCTGGATGTGGTGAGCTACTGGGACCTGCAAAGTGTGGGGAAAGGCTCTGGACTGGGAGAGGGGTCTGGCCACTTAGAGACTGAGGCTGTGTGGTCACTGCCAGTGCAAGCGTGTCCAGCCTGCAGCCCCTTGCAGCACATCCAGGGCTTCTAAGGAAGAGACTGTGAACTGTCCTTACACTCTGCAGACTGCTGTGTTGATGTCCCTGTGCTACAGAGCAGGGCTGTGTGTTCCCATTTAACCATTCTCATTGTTTCTTATTCTATTCTCTTTAATCAGTTGATGTTTAATAAATTGTATTTGCTTTGAACCTTATGAAGTGGTCACTGGGCCAAGAAGGCCTGCAGTGTAAAGAGAGCACCTCGGAGTGGGGACACCCTAACTCCTGCCCCTAGTGACTACAAGGTCAGGGATTAAGCCCCAGGAAACCTGGGCCCAGCCTTGTTGGGGTTTCAAGGGCTCTGCTACTCAGGAGAGTGGAGGGGGAGCCCTCAGGATCAGGGAGCCGTGGGGTAAAGGAAGTGGGAGCGGGGACTCAGATCCTTTCGTTGGTTCATTTCACCGGGGTGTATAGAAGCCAGGAAAGTTCCCCACAAGAGCGGGACCATTCCCCCGCTTACAAATAGGTTGATTATGAGTGATACAAATAGTAGCTAGATTTCATGAGTCAAAATCCTCTTCTAGTCTCCATTAGGAATCTGACATTGCTAACATTTGTACATTCTGATCTTTTATAGATAAATTATATTTAAGACCAAAGAAAAAGGGTGCATCTACTGAGGAAAACAGAGCAAGACTGACAGGTTTAAGCATTAATTCCTGAAAGGGGAAAGGCAAAGAATACAGAAATATTGCAGCTAATATGGGTTCTAAATCAGGGAGTCAGCTAACAAAATGCATTTTCAGAGGATCTCCTTGATAATATATGTATATTTTCCAAAGTAATTTCTGAATATATTGGTCAGACTCCCAGAAGTCATGTTATAAGAAGTGATGAGAAGGGATGGGGGTGCATTTCCTGCCTCTGATGGCACTCACTTCATCTTAGATACTGCAAAAACACCAAGGCCAGAGATGATGGTGAATCCTTGGGATTCACAAAAACACTTCCAAAAAGCAAATGCTTTTGCCTTTGGAATGAACCAGGCAATGCTCAGCAGCAGGTTTCCAATAATAGTTTGAGGGAGGTGCCTTCCCACCTTATGAAACATCTCTTCAAGTGCCACCTTCCACATTTTTAATAGTATAAACTGAAAGCTATGTGCAGTGTATTTTCCCCTCCTCAGTTGCATTTGGGGAAACAGTCATCTTCTATGGCTCTGCCTACTCTCTTCCACTTTTCTGCCAAGGAGGTCTCAGGAGAACACATGGCAGTGCACTCCCCAGACCACTGAGGCTGTACTTCCGTCAACCTTACATGAACCATTGAACGTCGTGGAGAAATGGCTCCTTACACCTCCCTCCCCCTGCATGTGGTCTTGTGAGAAGCAGCTGAGCCACAATCAAGCCTGTAATACATGGCGTCTACATGATCTATGTACCTGTTTTCTGTTTGAGTGCTCATTGTTTATTAGAGCTGCTTGTTAAGGAAGTTATCCTGAGCTGGTATCAACTGAGTTTTGACATCTTATCCCATTGTGAGTTATTACCTTCCCATGTCTCAAGATGCATAGCTGAATTTTTTGCTGTTAGATTGAAGGGACTCTTCTTATATATTCCAGATTTTTGTGGCTAATTATGTGCAAGGCCCATTTTTGGCCTCTCCGTATAATACATGCATGAATCACAGCAGTGAGTTGTCACCTCTGTCTCTTACCAGGTACTTTCTTTTGAAGTGCAGTATATTCTACTGTGTGAATCACTGTTATGTTAAAAATAGGACGGATGATGACTCTGCGTTCCCTTGATAATAGCGAATTGGCATCCCATAATCACACCACCAGGTTTAGTACCATTGTAAAAAACTGCACAAAAGGAAGCTTGAATGGACAATGGTACCACTGGAACTATGGGTTGTCTTGTAATCATCAGCTATAACACAATTAATAAGATCACAGAGTAAACATTTACTAATAAAATATAAAATTTCAAGTTTAAGTTTCATCCCTTACTCCTGGGATAGAAAAGGACTGGTTGGGCACTGAGGAGTATGCCAAGCCTCAGGGTCTTATGTCTTTGTAACGAGCCCCACTCACCCATTGGGGGGGGGGCTCTAAAAGGAATCTTTTCCAGACAATTAATCAGAAAGAACAGTTACCACTAACGTTCCACTCCTGCAAAATGCTCAACTTTACACTCCTGAATTGTCCCACTGACATCAATGGAAAGATTCACAGGCTTAGAATTAATCATCTGTAAATGACTGCAGGGCCCTGACATAAGTTGGGCCCTGAGAGCAGGCAATAGAAAAATGTCCAGAATATCGCTGGAGGGAAGAAAACACAAGCAGAACCAAACCCAGAGGCAGCCTGTCCATGTAGGCGAACTAGGCGGTCGCCTAGGGCGCCAAGTTAAATGGGGTGCCAAATGGTGGCGCAATATCATTGAGGGGTTTGGAGGTGGGGGCGCCGATTGCATGGTTTGCCTAGGGCGCCAGTTGCTGGCAGCTAGTCTAGGGCTGCCCGTGACTTTTAAAAGGTACTGTGTGCATGAGAAAGAGTATAGGATATGAGTGTATAAAGCTTGCTTAATACACAATAGCAGCTGAGGTTCAGAACTGACTTAAGCTTTGGGTAATCATGAGTAAAAGTGCAGCTAGACAGTTTTTTTCTTTCCTGGAGTTCTGCATATGAAAGGTTTGTTCGGTCAGGCCCAGAATTCATGAGTGTAATTCTCAGCTAATTCAGAATGATGCCAGAATTGTGTGTTAGTACGTCTAGTCTCTGTAGGGTTAGAGTGTTGACAATTTAATAAACACCATATGGTACATTTTAAGTGAAATAAAGAGGAGGTATCATTATCTTGGGCCTGATTCCTGTCTCCCCAAATATAAATCAGCAGCAATGTCATGGAAGTCACTGGAGCTACACAACTGGCGAGATCAGAATCAGGCCTAAATGTTGCACATGGTCATGGGTGCTAGATTTTATAATTTTTAGTGGTGCCCAGAACAGATCCAAGCAGAGCTTGCAGGGCCCCACACTTCAGAGGATCACAGGGTCCAGGGTGATCTGGGGAGTTAGCTCATGGCCTGGTGCTGGCAGTAGTGAATGACCTGACTCCAGACTGTCCTCCTCTGCTCTGCCATTGCCCCACTGGCTCCTGGTGTCACTCAGGGGAGGGGAAAGAAGCCGGCAAGAGGTGGGGTTGAGTTAGGGTTTTGGGGGAAAGAATGGAAAGAGAGCAGGAAGGGGAGGAGCAGAGTGGGATGAGGCAGAGTGCGAGGGAGAGAGGCAGGGCAGTAGTGGGGACTTGGAGGAAGGTGTGGGCTGGGACTGGGTTGGACCCATGCCTCCTTGGACCCAATGTCCCCTGAAGCTTGGGGCCCCACAGAGCTTGGGCTGCTTGCCCTGGTCCATTGTATGGATGAGCTCTCTCTTAAGCCCAAACATTGGTGGAGCTATGGCCATGTTCCTGAATATTGGGGGAGCATATAAACTTTACTATAGTACAATGTAAGGAATTAATATTAGCTAATCATTCTTCTCTCACTGAAATGATGCATGTCCAACTCTTCATTCCCTTTCTTCACAAGCTATTATACCTGGACTCCTTTTGAATCAGTTACTCTCCCACATTCCCAAAACATATCTGGCAGTGACGTGCCCTGATGCTTTCAAACCCTTATAGTATTTTCTTTTTTTGTTTTTGTTTTTTTTCTAGCGATATGTTGATAGCAACAATCTCTGTGTTTTTATAGTGTATTCACCATAAATGGCTTCAAAGATTGAATAATTGCCAAAGCAAAGCTGAGGTATTTGCTTGTTTTTAAAAAATCATTTTGGCCCTGGTCCTGCAAATGCTTAAGAACATGTGTCACTTTTCTCATTGTAGTTTAAAAAAAAAAAAAAGCCTGGCTCATGTTCATAGTTACTCACAATCTTAACTGTTTGCAAGATCGGGGCCTTTGCATACTCAGGATACTAATTATACTACAAAGCAGTAAAGATTATTCCTTAAATATAAAAAGAAACTATTAAACCGGGGGGGGGGGTTCTTCCCGTTAGACTCCCCCACTCTTTTTACTATCGGTTAATATTTGTCTACATAGTACTTACAGGAGTGAAGTAAATTGTTGGGAATCTTTGAACTGCAGAACGAAACATAAACTGCCTGAGTTTTGAAAAAGAAGCAATTAAAGTCATTTGAGGCACACTCTTACTGCTACTTACAGTTTTACCAACAGTTTCCACCGCTCTCTATTTCGGTATAAGAAAAGGCAATATAAAAGAAATCATTCTGTATTGGTGAAATATACAGTGAAACCAAGAGACTTAAACATAACTTTCCATTGGCATATAGAGAAAGATAGTTAAACCATTTTTATGAATGACACTTCACTACTACTACTGTCTGTAAAGAGCCCAGTTTACAAACTCCAATCGCTTAGTTCATGTTTAGATGCCTTCTGAGGTAAAAGGACTGTTGTACAGAGGCACTGAGCACAAACAGCTCTCACTAGAATCAGGATTATGGCACTGATGCAACAAAGCACACCAACTCAGATTAACTTGAAGCACATGCTTTGGACTCTGAAGTCCAGGTTCACTCGCGGGGGATGGAGGCCACAAAGGGGGCAGCTGTCCCAGGCCCAGGCAATTTAAAAGCTCCAGTGCTCCCATCTGACACCACTGCTACAGTAGCAACAGCAATGGCTGGAGCCCTGGTCTTTTAAATCACTGCCGGAGCGCTGGCCAGTGCACACCTGGTGTTCCTGATGGGTTGGCTGGGGGAGACTAGCTCCCAGCTTTGCCCCTTCTGCCCAGCCCTTTCACGGGTCCCAGAGATGGCCCCCTCCACCTTGCCCATGGCCTGGCAAAGTCTGTTGGCTGCCCTGCTGAAGCCTGTGGAACTGAAACATGCTCAAAGTCAAGTACATACTTATTGCCTGGGGCGGGGTTAAGCATATGTTTATGTGTTTTCTGAAGTCAGAGCCTGTAACAAAGAAAAATCAGGACACTGACTTAGGACCTGATTCATTGAAGTTAATGGAAGATTTCAATGGGCTTTGGGTATTATATAAATGGGGACTGTAGGTGCAGAGTAGCTCTGAAATTCAGGTAAAATACATGAAAAAAACCAATCTCAGAAAAGGAGAAGATAAGAACATTGATTTACTTACTTGGATGCAAACGTGGGCACTGGAAGAGGGAAAAGATCATATTGCCCTGGTGCAGTGTCAATATCCTTAAAGGAATGAGTAGTGTAGATAGGACAGACAGGTATCAAGGTTTGACTTCAGATTACTGATTTCTTCACTAACATCTGCAGTCTCAGACACAACCCTCATTTAAATCAATAGGACATGTATGCATGTATCTGCAGGTGGAATTTTGTTCATATGTGTATTACTATGTATTAAGGGTCTAATCCTACAGAGGGTTAGCTCCTAGTGAAATTGATAGCATATAGCATATTTCATCCAAGGAGCAAAAACCTTGTTCTAAGCATTAAGCCTTGCAATACCCCTCAGAAGAGCAAACAAATGTTTATACCCACTTCAATGTAAACATTTTTAGAGTAGGATGCTGAAAAACTAGATTTAAATTGTGCCTTGAAATTTTCAGATGTGGAGGGAACAAATGCAAAAATCTACACAGTGGCTAGTTCAAGCAAACACATTATACTGGTATACCCTGACTGAAAGTCTCAGGGTGCGTCTACACAGTACTCTAAACTCAAAATATGATACACAATTTGCACTATGCAAGTTGTGTATCTTATTTCAATTCTATTTCAAAATAGCTTATTTTGAAATTTGGCATGTCTACACAGCACCAAATTTTGAAATAACGTTGTATTTCGAGACATCCTTTAACCCTCATGGAATGAGGGTTACAGGGATACCAAAATAGCACGCCCATTATTTTGAAAAAAATGGGTGGCCTGTTAAGACTCGGGGTAGCTATTTTGGGATCCCAATATAGCCACACGGTATAGATGTATCCTCAAAGTGTAACATACACTTAGCTTCTCTACTCATGCTACTGAAACTACAGTCATGACAATTGGTGAGAGGGATCAGATGGGGAGCTCCTAATGAAAGAAAGACTTTCTCATGGCAATTGCAGAGATCAATGGGAAGAGAAAAAACATGAACCTGGTTCCTTCTTCCCCTGTGGCAATTCTATAAACATCACTGAACCTGGATGTTGCAGGTGGCATAAATAATATGAGCAAATGGTGGTCAGGGTCTTCTGAGGAACCTCTGAGGGGGCAAAAGCTCATTGGAACCTGAGGGGGACTGGAGCCACCTGAAAACCTAACTCTTTCCTGTTTTTGTTGCAGAACTGAGGTCTCTGACAGGAACAGGCTGAGCGTCTGAGAAGATGAAAGTGGTTGGAGCCCATTAATCAACTAGGCTCCGTTGCTTTATATGCTGCACAAAAAAGAGGGAGGTTTTTTTGGGGGGGGGGTGTGAAGGGGCGTCTGAGGCAACCACAGAGAAGGAACCTTAAAAGCTTTTGAGTGATACTATTTGGCTACGTCTACACTGGCCCCTTTTCCGAAAGGGGCATGCTAATTTTCCAGGTCGTAATAGGGAAATCTGCGGGGGATTTAAATATCCCCCGCGGCATTTAAATAAAAATGTCCGCTGCTTTTTTCCGGCTTTTAGAAAAGCCGGAAAAGAGCGTCTACACTGGCCCCGATCCTCCGGAAAAAAGCCCTTTTCCGGAGGATCTCTTATTCTTTCTTCAAAGTAAGAATAAGACGGAAAAGGGCTTTTTTCCAGAGGATCGGGGCCAGTGTAGACGCTCTTTTCCGGCTTTTCTAAAAGCCGGAAAAAAGCGGCGGACATTTTTATTTAAATGCCGCGGGGGATATTTAAATCCCCCGCGGATTTCCCTATTACGACCTGGAAAATTAGCACGCCCCTTTCGGAAAAGGGGCCAGTGTAGACGTAGCCTTTATGTGGGGACTCCTTTTACTCTAGCCCAGTGGTTTTCAAACGATGGGTCACGATCCAGGATTAGGTCATGGAATGGGAGGCACTGGGTTTTCTTGTTGCAGGGAATTGAGGTCACCAGTGGGAGTGCTAAGGCAGGCTACTTGCCTATCTTGGCTCTGCACACTGCGCAGCATGCCCGACTCCTAGGCAGGCGAGGGGAGAAAGAGCACACTGGCTCGGTGTGCTGCCCCTGCCCCGAGTACTAGCACTGCACTCTCAGGGTATGTCTACATTACCACCCTAGTTCGAACTAGGGTGGTAGCATAGACATACCCTCATTGGCTGGGAACCTGCTGCTGGATGCTTCTGGGGTGCAGCATGGTCTGCGCTGTCGGGAGAGGCAGGGAGCTGGCCTTAGCACCCCCACTGCACCACTGACTGGGAGCCACTCAAGGTAAGCTCCTCCTGCTCCAGCCCTGACCGCCCCCCAAACCAGAGCCCCCTCCTACACCCAAAGCTCTCATCCTCAGCCCCACCCCTGAGCCCACACTCTAGTCAAATTATGTTGGGTCGCAGACATCAACAATTTTCTTCAACTGGGTCACGAGAAAAAAAGTTTGAAACCCACTGGTCTAGGAGAGCCACTAGGTGGGCCTGAAACAACTTTGCCTGTGATCATGGCACTCAGAGCTTCTCTACTCTGGGGTTAAAGGTATATTTTTAAAATATGACAGCAAAAACATATAAAATAATAAATATTAAAGGCTGAGACAGAGCAAGTTGTACTTAATATGTGTACACTGGGAGAGATGACTTTAAGTAAGGAAAAAAAAGGGGAACCTATAAATAGCTCTGGCCACTATTTTGTTATTACCTTGTCTTTAAAGCATAAAGTGCTGGGACTTTTCCTTGCTGTGTTTTTAAATGAATATGTAGCTGGCTTTTTGTCTGCCAGTTCTACAAAGCTGGGCGGAGTGTAAGTATAAACATCTGGTAGTGTAAGATCAGCTGTTGGCTGGAAGATGGAAACTCGCTTTCTGCCTTCTCCTTTAAAATTATATGTTGGTTTCACTGGGTTGAGCTGTGAGTCTTCAATAAAATCCCGTACTACATAAGTCCCTGGCGTAGGTGTTGGCTAGTAAAAACAAACATTATTTAGAGTGAAATTCTTGAACAGTTCGGCATTTCTACTAGAATTGTATTTGGAATGTTATTTCAAACTGGCGTTTGTCTTTGTTTTAATGAAACTCAGTCATTAAAAGCCTGAAAAAAGCTCACATTTCAGAGGTTTTATGATCCTGGCCATTTCACCTTTGGAACAGTTCATGACAAATATTTCTTTTTCCAAAGAAAATCATTGAAATGGCCAACTGAAATATCCACAGGATGTTCCAATATGTTAGCTACTGACAAAAAAATATTGTGCCCAAGAACTGCAATCAAGTCTCGAGCTTAAACTGCTGTAACAACTACTTCAACTGCTGGGTTACCTGTGCATTGTCTGAAGAAATACTTCCATTTGTTTGCTTTAAACCTGCTACCTATTAATTTCACTTGGTGAAAGTGGTGAAAGTAACTTAAAATTTCTTACAAGTACTGTCCTATTGCAACCTGGGTCCCTGTCAGCTCTTTAAATAGCTCCCTGCTGGCTTTTGCCGCAGCTCAGTCTGTTCTTGCCGGAGCTGTGCACCGGGGTACATCCACTTACTTTCATCTCTGCTTGGTGATCCCTTAGTTCTTGCGTTATGGCAAGGATTATTCACTTTCTCCACACCAGTGGATGATTTTATAGAGCTCTATCATATACCTGCCTCTTTTCTAAGCTGAAAAGTCCCAGGTTAATTATTTGCCATATGGCAAATATTCCGTACGCCTACTCATTTTGTTGTCCTTTTCTGAACTTTTTCTGATGCCAAAGTATTTTTTTTTAGATAAGGTGACCACATTTGCATTCAAGATGTGGGTATACCAGGGATTTCTAAACAGGTTAGATGGTATTTTTCTATCTTATTCTCTATCCCTTTTTTAATGATTGCAGCATTCTGTTTGCTTTTCTGACTTCTGTTACACATTGAGTGGATGTTTTCAAAGAACTATCCACAATGACTCCAAAATCTTTCTCTTGAGTAGAAACCGCTAAATTAGTCCCCATCATTTTATACATATAGTTGGGATTATGTTTTCCAATATGTGTTACTTTGCATTTAGCAACATTAAAATAGATCTTCCATTTTGTTGTCCAGTCATCTACTTCTGTGAGATCCTTTTGAAGCTCTTCACAATCTGCTTTGGGCTTAAATATCTTGAGCAGTTCTGTATTATCTGCAAATATTATCACCTCACCATTTTCCCTTTTCTCCAGATCAATCCTGAATATGTTGAATAGGATTGGTCCCAGTATAGACCCCATAGAAATACCACTAGTCTCACCATTTAGAAAACTGATAATTTATTCCTACCCTTTGTTTTCTATCTTTTAACCAGTTACCAGTCCATGAGAGGTCCTTTCCTTTTATACCATCCTAGCTTATTTTACATAAGAGCCTTGTGTAAGGGATCTTGTCAAAGACTTTCTGGAAATCTAAGCACACTATATCCCCCTTGTTTCCATGATGATGTGGATGTACTTGTTGACCCCCTCAAAGAATTCTGGTAGCTTTTTGAGGTAAGATTTCCCTTCACAGAAACCATATTGCCTTTTCCCCAACAGATTATGTTCATCTGTGTGTTTGACAATTTTGTTCAAGTTTCAACCAGTTTGCCTGAAGTTAGACTTACTGGTCTGTAATTGCCCGGATCACCTCTAGAGCTCTTTTAAAATGGTATCACGTTAGCTATCCTCTAGTCATTTGGTATGGAAGATGATTTAAAAGATAACCTCAATGCATGGTCTTCCAAATAAACAAGATCAGCACGCAGTCCTCCACAGAAATAAGCTCAGCACACAGTATCTTTCAGGCAAGCAGGAAGCACACCCCAAACACAAACACACACACCCAGCCTAGCCCCAGATCTACTCCAGCCCAGCTCTGGCCTCAGCCCCAGCTCATCCCCTGCTCCAGCCCAGCTCCTATCCCAGCCACAGGGGGATAAAAGCTCCCCTTCCCTCCACTCTCCTCCTTTTTTGGTCCCAGTAACAGCTCTGCTCTGCCCCAGCTCCACCCCCAACAGCAGGTCTGCTTCATCTGAGCCACCGCTCCAGCTCCTACCTCAGTCCAGCTCTGCCCTTGTTATCTCTTTGGCCCCGGGGCAGCACTGTCTCTAGCCTCAAATCCTCCCCATCCCCAGTTCTGCCCCCAGCTCTGCTGTCAGCCCATGATCCTCTGCTGTGCCAATTGTACATCTCAAACTGCTCATCCCCAGCCCACCCCAGACCCCACACCCAAACTCCCTGTTCCAGTAAGGTGAAAGTGAGTGATGGTGGGAAAGAACAAGCAATGGAGGGAGTGAGCAAATGGTGGGGCAGGGCCTCAAAAAAAAGGATGGGGGCATGGGGAAAAGCAGAGCAGGGCTGAGGGAGGGATGTTTAGTTTTATGCAACTCTAATCAACCCTCTTCCCCCACAGGCAAGGGAGCTAGCAGAAAATCCCACCACTCCTGCCTGCTCTCCTAAAACTGGAGGAGGGGAATGTCTTTCAAAAAGACAAAATATACGTACAACAGTCTCTTTTTCACTAGTGACACATTCCCTCCTGTAGCCAGACAGGAATACCCCCCTTGCAACATCCCTCTTGCTTGCCCCTCTGAGGTGCCTGGAGCATACAGGGCATAGAAAGCAATAAAATCAGCATAGTCTTTGATGCCTTGACAGAAGGCCCGGATATGCTGGCTGCTGTGACCCTGGATGGCTGTAAACAGAAATATGCCAATTGCTGACCTCAAGGCTGCGAGAACTGCTTTGGCTGGCACCTATATTGATATGAACACACAGCCGTCCTCGGTGGGGGAGGGGGAAAAATCGCCTGCTGAGCAAAGAATGCCCAGTATTCCCAATTTAGTTATCTCTCTTACAAGTGTAGTCCCAAAGATGGACCAACACAATTTGGCATCTTAGCTAAGAAAGAGGATACGGGCCCCTGTGGGTATAAAGATGGGTCCAGCAGCACACTTACTCTGAGTGTCAATCTACCATCTGTCTGCTGGTTGGGTTAGGTGATTGGACTCGTGAGGTTCCATGGGGATACCCACCTCGTATTCATCTTTCATAATTTTCAGAAACAGATGAACAATTTTGGAGGAAACTTCTGCCTTCCGCCCTTTAAAAAAAAAAAAAATTTAGCCTGAGGTTGACACCCAAAGAGAAATTTCAAAGTTATAGGCAACTAAAAACAAAATATTATATTGGGAACTGTCAGGCATCCCTAATAATTCCTATTGCTCTTGGCTCCACCATTAATTACTGGGCTGACAAGTTTACAAATTTGTGGTATTTGTAGTAAGTTGAGGTCAGTAACATGGAGTCAGCAGGCCTAAATAGAGGCCTATAACATGAAAACAGCAACAGGCCTGCAATCTAGTGAGCGCCAAACACAATTAAAAACTCCAGCCGGTCATAAGGGACAGATATAGGGAGAGCTGGGGCATTTGGATCATGTTGCCTCCAAGGGACAGATCCGTGGGGCACCTCTCAGCCTTCCCTAGGCTGCCCACTGCAAAGGGATCATGTGTCCTAGCAGTTAAAGTCTGAGGTGTAATAAGCTCTCCCTGTAAACTCTGGGGCATCTGTCAGCCTGTTGGCTGCCCGCCGCGAAGGGACGCCGGTCCTAGCGGTCAAAGACACGGACATAAAACTTCTCGGGGTGCCTGTCGGCCTCCCCTAAGGCCGCCCGCTGCGACAGGATCTAGTGTCTTAGCAGTTGAAGACTCGGGTGTATAACACACACACGCATTGCCCTGACCATCGGCTGACACCTCCTACTCCTCCATCTCATAGAATAATAAAATCACAGGGTTGGAAGAGACCTCAGGAGGACATCGAGTCCAGCCACCTGCCCAAAGCAGAACCAACCTCAAGTAAATCATCCCAGCCAGGTCTTTGTCAAGCCAGTACTTAAAAACCTCTAGGGATGGAGATTCCACCACCTCTGTAGGTAACCCATTCTGGTGCTTCACTGCCCTCCTTGTAAAGCAGTTTTTCCTAATATCCAACCTAGACCTCCCCTGCTGCAAATTAAGATCATTGCTCCTTGTTCTGCCATCCGTCATTACTGAGAACATCCTCTCTCCATCCTCACAGGTGCAGGATTTGCCTGCACATCCACTAATGTGATCTATGCCATCAAATGCCAACAATGTCCCACTGCCATGTATATTGGCCAAACTGGACAGTCTCTACAGGAAAGAATTAATGGACACAAATCAGATATCCGAAAAGTCAATACACAAAAACCTGTTGGAGAACACTTTAATTTACTAGGACACTCATTAATGGATTTCTAAGTCACCATTTTATTTCAGGCAAATCCCACAAGCCAAATTCACAGAGAAGGATTGGAACTTGACTTCATTTACAAGTTTAATTTTTATGCAAATGGTATGAACAAAGACATCGGCTGGCTCCCACACTACTTTCCACATCCTGTGATTTAACCTATCAATCAAACAATGGATGTGCTAATGGTTCTTATCAGCCTCTTGTAACTATTTAGTCTTTAAGGTGCTACTAGACTATTTGTTGTTTTTTAAGTTTTTACAGACTAACTCTGCTACCCCTCTGAAGCTTATCTACTCACTATCTCTTTTTTCTTCCTTCCCTCCTTTTTTTCTCATTTTCTCTCTTTTTTTTCTTCTCTCTCCCTCCCGTCCCCTTTTTCCCTTATTTATTCTTGGATCTGGACTTCTAACACTCCTGTCATCTGAAGAAATGGGTTAAGCCCACGAAAGCTCATAATACCATCTACATGCTTTGTTAGTCTTTAGGGTGCTACTAGTCTATTTGTTGTTTTTTAAGTTTTTTCTATTACAGACTAACTTGGCTACCCCTTTGAAGGATGTTGTGAGGAACAATGCAATAAAGAGTCTGAAATCCTACGGCACTAGGTGTCTCAAAGCTAGCTATGTTAGAGAAAGGCACTGTGTATTTTCAGCGAGGGGTTAATAGGAAAATTTCCAATATTGCACAACTAAGCAAAAGGAGAAATAACAGCAGCTTTCCCTTCCGTGTTAAACACCAGAAGATTTCATACCAAAATGTTGCAAAATATTCATTCCAAAATGTTCATGCAAAATGGCCAGATCAGACGAAAAACATTCACATAAAGAATCTGACACATCAGAAAAGGGCAGACAAATAAACAGTGACAAGTTTGTAAAGTGCTTGTACACAAATGCTAGAAGTCTACAAAATAAGATGGGTGAACTAGAATGCCTCGTGTTAAAGGAGGGTACTGATATAATAGGCATCACAGAAACCTGGTGGAGTGAGGACAATCAATAGGACACAATCATTCTGGGGTACAAAATATATCAGAAGGACAGAACAGGTCGTGCGGGTGGGGGAGTGGCACTATATGTGAAAGAAAATTTAGAATCAAATGAAGTAAAAATCTTAAATGAAATCAACATGTTCCATAGAATCACTATGGATAGTAATTCTCTGCTCTAATAAGAATATAACAGTAGGGATCTATTATAATTATCGACCACCTGACCAGGACAGTAATAGTGACTATGAAATGCTAAGGTCAAAATGCAGAGTCGCAGCACGGGTGGCTCCCAGAGCCAGCATGAGCTGGGACTGCCACTGCTGGGTAAGAGGCCACTGCCATCTTTTTATTGGGGTGGGGAAAGTTACAGCATATGTGGGATAGCATTGCTGTTCTATGACCAATGCAATTATTGTTAGAGAGGATATTATGTGCTGTGGGACAACTTTTACTTCAACTGAGCTCTGTTTGGGACTCAGTTGGGTACAGGCTTATGTGGGAGGCTTGTCGGAGTGGTACAGGATATGAGATGCTTTACAGGGTGGGGGTTTCAGTGGGGAGTGGGGTTCAGTTGGTGGTGGTCTGAACTCAGGGGTGAAGTTTGGCTTAGTGTGGAGGTTCACATGTGTGGGAATGAAGTTCAGTAGGGGACCTCTAGCTATGGGGGGGTCTGGATGCATAGGGATTTGGCAGATGGGGCTAAGTTTCCCATACACTGACTCCCCTCCCCCATGGTTGAGGACTAGTGAAGGAAAGGAAGTGGGAGGGAAGAGTGAGGACAGCCCTGCAAGCTGCATGGACATTTTTCAGCAGGGCTCTGTCCATAGAGGCTTCCGAGAACACTGTGTCAACCCTTTGTCAATAAGCATATGTACTGCTGGATAATTGTTCTCGTCTCAAGTTTAAAACAATGCCTTTGTCCTATTTCAGTAGCTGGCCTTCATGTGAAGTGTTCAGGAATAAATCAGCCAGCTGTTAGCAACGACAGATCAATAGTTAATCTTATTTCTCTGTCGATTGCTGTTCTACTCACTAAAAATGTCTAACGCGAAACCATCAAATTCTCCTGAAAGCCACAAAATGGATTTCTGAACAAAGGAAGAAAAGGGGGCTGCAAATAGAGTCCTTAAATCACACTTAAATAAGGAGCACAATAAAGTAATTGCGGAGAAACTACATGAATTCTTTGCTTCAGTCTGCATGGCTAAGGATGTTAGGGAGATTCCCTTACCTGACCTGTCCTTTGTAGGTGACAAATCTGAGGACTTGTCAAAGAATGAAGTGTCATTAGAGGAGGTTTTGTAATTAATTGAATAACTTAACAGTAACAAGTCACCGGGACCAGATGACATTCACCCAAGGGTTATGAAAGAACTCAAATGTGAAATTGCGGAACTATTAACTATGGTTTGTAACCTATCCTTTAATTTGGCTTCTGTACCCAATGACTGGAAGATAGCTAATGTAACACCAATAAAGGGCTCTAGAGGTGATCCCAGCAATTACAGACCAGTAAGTCTGACGTCAGTACCGGGCAAATTAGTTGAAACAATAGTAAAGAATAAAATTGTCAGACACGTAGAAGAACATAATTTGTTGGGCAAAAGTCAACATGGTTTCTGTAAAGGGAAATCATGTCTTACTAATCTATTAGAGTTCTTTGAAGGGGTCAACAAACATGTGGACAAGGGAAAATCCAGTAAATATAGTGTATTTAGATTTCCAGAAAGCTTTTGACAAGATCCATCACCAAAGGCTCTTATATAAATTAAGTTGTCATGGGATAAGAGGGAAGCTCCTTTCATGGGTGGAGAACTGGTTAAAAGACAGGAAACAAAGGGTAGGAATAAATGGTAAATTTTCAGAATGGAGAGTGGTAACTAGTGGTGTTCCCCAAGAGTCAGTCCTAGGACCAATCCCATTCAAAATATTCATAAATGATTTGGAGAATGGGGTAAACAATGAGGTGTCCAAGTTTGCAGAGAATACTAAACTGCTCTAGGTAGTTAAGACCAAAGCAGACTGTGAAGAAATTCACAAAGATCTCACCAAACTAAGTGATTGGGCAACAGAATGGGAAATAAAATTTAATGTGGATAAATGTAAAGTAATGCACATTGGAAAAAATAACCCCAAGTATACATACGATATGATGGGGCCTAATTTAGCTACAAGTAATCAGGAAAGAGATCTTGAGTCATCGTGGATAGTTCTCTGAAGACATCCACGCAGTGTGCAGCGGCAGTCAAAAAAGCAAACAGGATGTTAGGAATCATTAAAAAAGGGATAGAGAATAAGACAGAGAATATCTTAGTGCCCTTATATAAATCCATGGTATGCCCACATCTGGAATACTGTGTACAGATGTGGTCTCCTCATCTCAAAAAAGATATACTGGCATTAGAAAAGGTTCAGAGAAGGGCAACTAAAATGATTAGGGGTTTGGAATGGGTCCCATCTGAGGAGAGATTAAAGAGACTAGGACTTTTCAGCTTGGAAAAGAGGAGACTAAGGGGGGTATGATAGAGATCTATAAAATCATAAGTGGTGTGGCGAAAGTGAGTAAGGAAAAGTTATTTACTTGTTCCCATAATATAAGAACTAGGGGCCACCAAATGAAACTAATGGACAGCAGGTTTAAAACAAATAAAAGGAAGTTTTTCACACAGCGCATTGTCAATCTGTGGAACTCCTTGCCTGAGGAGGTTGTGAAGGCTAGGACTATAACAAGGTTTAAAAGAGAACTAGATAAATTCATGGAGGTTAAATCCATAAATGGCTATTAGCCAGTAGGGGTAAGGAATGGTGTACCTAGCCTCTGTTTGTCAGAGGATAGAGATGGATGGCAGGAGAGAGATTGCTTGATCATTAGCTGTTCGATTTACTCCCTGGCATTGGCCACTGTTGGCAGACAGGGTACTGAGCTGGATGGACCTTTGGTCTGACCCAGAATGGCCATTCTCATGTTCTTATGCAGTGTGGCTTTCAAAAGGCACTGAACTTTTGGGACCAGATCTTCAAAGGCATTTAAGCTCCTAATTTCCCCTAATTTCCAGTTAGGAACAAAAATACCTTTAACACTAAGGGCTTTGCTCCTCGTGGCAGAGGTAGAAGAGCAGTCTTGTTAATTTCAAATATCCCTCTCAAACATGGAAACTCTGTTATGCCCTCAATGTGAACGCTATGTGATGGAGTTGTAACACATGCAACCTTCCTGAACACTGGGGAAGAGATCACAATTGCAGGTGCTGAAGGGTTGGAAATGTGGTTAGCAATGCAATAAAGGACAGATATCTGGGGATACAGAATGAAAGACAATTCTTTTTTTACAGTAGGGTGCTCCTGTCTCCTTATTGCAGGGTTAGCTGGCAGTGACATTTCTTCTTCTGCCCCTTTAAGTCCCCAGCTCAAGCTCTAACTCAGAGCAGACACAGCACAATGCTAACGAGAAGGGCTTAGAAACCTGTCTTCTTGCTGGTGTGCTTGCAGGGGCTGAGTCATGGGATCAGTTTTGGGAGCAGTCTAATTTAACGTTTATATTTCTGACATTGGCACAAAAAGTGGGTGTGCGCTAATAAAATATGTGGATGACACAAAGTAGGGAGGTATTGTCAAAATGGAGGAGGACCAGAATATCATACAAGAAGATCTGGATGACCATGTATTTGCATACCTTCTTCCGTTTTTTTGTTTTTTTCTGGAAGAGGATTTTCTGATATTTGGCCTGTTTACACAGGGCCAAATGTCAGAAAAATAAAACTCTCTTTTGAAAGTCCCTGTAAACTTCATTTTGCAAGGAATAAGGGGACCTTCGAAAGAGAGTTTTTTTCCAACATTTGGCCCCATGTAGGCAGGCCAAATATCGGCAAATCATCTTCCGGGGAAAAAAAAACAGAAGAAGGTATGCAAATGCGAACATAATTTGCATGCCTTCTTCGAAAAAAACACCAGTGTAGCCGTACCCTTAGCTAAGGTCCACTCTTACACTCAGCAAGCAACTTCAATGAAGTCTGTGGGAATATTCCTGTTTGTAGCATTGCTCACATGCACAACTGTGCATAAGTACTGTAAAACATATGAACTAAAATACGCATACTCTAAGTGAGAGGCTCCACCATGTATCTCTTCGTCCCAAAGATGTTTCTCTTTCTCTTGCTTTCTCAGAGGCCTGTTAAAAAACAAAGATTTATTGCACAGCATCCACATGTTCCTACAATTGTTCCTTTAGGCTAAATACGACAGTTTATAACTTGTAATTATACTTAAAGATATACAGTCTATCTAACCTGTCATCCTAAACTTCAACACATGAGACAGAGTTCGACTACGTTTAAGGCTTTCTTTTAGAGTAGTTCTTTATTAAATTAAATGTTATTTTTAATAGAAAGTTTTTGCATTATTGAATCATTGCTTGAACTTTTCACTTGTATGATCTGATTTAGAATGAAACTGATCTGAGTGTCTACTAAGACTTGAGAATTCAAGATTGGAGGAACATTTTAAAATGGGCACAACTTCTGGGAGCATAAATGAGATGAGATTTATAGCAGAATTTCTTTGCTAAGTTCCTTAACTTTCTCAGTGACAGATTATTAAAATGTAATGAAGGAGCAAACTCCTATTTCTCCCTCTCCATAGTAGAGTTGAAACCATGTTACTCAAACTATATGATGTAGCTCTGTTGTGGGCATTGGTTGAGCTATTGTCTGGAAACCACATCATATTTATGTTGTAAGTCTGTGCTGTAGACAATGGCCTTCATTTTTTTATTCTTACTAATTTTTACTGAAAGATTCCTGAGTAATTGGTAGCATTATTATACTGATTAGGTTAAGAAAATTCAATACATTACCTTAGGTGGATGTGTTTGTTAATAATAAATTAGTCCTCTTGTAAATGCAAGCCTTTTTCATAAAGTAAAGAAATACGATGGGAGACACAGAGACAAACACACATGCATGTGCCTGTGTTAGTGCCTGAGCCCTAAAAAAAACGGGCGGCTGGAACTCCGTGTAACCTGCTCCCCACTCAGAAAAGAGAATTGATGGCTCAGTATCTGAAACCAAGTCAGAAGTATGCTCACTTTTCTCTAATTGTTGCCCCCCAGTGTCTTCCATCCCTCATTATTTACCTAGAATTTAATGTTTTACTCACATTTTCATTTAAACATTTTAAATTGTTGTAATAAACACTCAGATTCCCATGGACTTTTTTAAATAAAGAAAAGCTGAAAAAGAAGGCTATGGGCTGCCTATGGGGGGCAATCTAGTTTTGCTCATATGGGAGAAAAAAAGTACGATCCACATTGTTCAAAGGAGCTGAGCAACCAAGAGCTCTTTTCAATCCCAGTTGTTACTAGCATGGTTGTGACTGTAACATGGGCTGTTGGTATAGACCAGTGGTCTCCAACCTTTTTACACCCAAGATCACTTTTTAAGTCTCAGAACAGGCGAAGATCTACTGCCCCGCCCCTTCCTTGAAGCCCCGCCTACATTACATGAGGAAATCTAATGTAAATGTACTGCGCAGGTGTGCAGTTCAGAGAGGGCTCAAGAGCTACTCTTGGAGCCCCTGAGATCTACCGGTAGATCGCGATCTACTGGTTGGTGACCATGGGTATAGACACACAGGCTGGGACTTTTTTCAAAGGCACCTCAGGGGTGGCAGGTGCTCTGATTTCATTGAAATTAAATAGAAAGTTGGCCCTAATTCTCTTTGGCATCTTTGAAAATGTCATCCTTACTCTACATCATGCTTCTCCATTACTTAAAATTAATTTATCTTCAAGAGATTGTATACCACTAATGACCATTTAAAATATTATTTGTCCAAAATCTTATTTTGAATATTAAAAAATTAATGGAGATTGCCTATCTCCTAGAGCTGGAAGGGACCTTGAAAGGTCATTGAGTCCAATCCACTGCCTTCACAGCAGGACTAAGTACCAGCCCTGACAATTTTTGCCCCAAATGGCCTCTACAAGGATTGAACTCACAGCCCTAGGTTTAGCAGGCAATAGCTCAAACCATTGAGCTATCCTCCCCAGTTTAAAAAATGGTTACTCACCATTTGTAACTGTTGTTCTTCAAGATGTGCTGCACATAGCTATTCCATGGTAGGTGTCTGTGTTCACCACACGCATGGTGCCAGAAATCTTTTTCCTTAGGCTAGGTCTACACTATTGGTTTTTCTTTTTTTTTTTTTTTTTTTTTTAAAGCTACACAAATTGCAAAGCTTTTTCCATTGCTTTTCCAGAAGAGGATTTTCCACCATTTGGCCCTGTCTACATGGGGCCAAATGGCGGAAAAGCCTCCTCTTTCGGCAGAGCTCTTATCCCTCATAGAACAAGATATACAGGGCTCCCCAAAAGAGCGCATTTGCTCTTCCACAAAAAAAGTGAAGGAGTAAATGTGTTCCTTGGACATGGCAGAGCTTTTCCGGGCTACCTCTGGAAAACCCCGCAGTGTAGACGTACCCTTAGTGGAATCCTAAGGGGCTATGTCTGGAGCCCTCTGGAGTGGCATGCAGATACCATGATATAAGGGGCACTGAGGGGCCCTCCTCCCACTTTCCCTCAGTTCCTTCTTGCTCTAACTCTGCCAAAGGGGAAGGCAGGTGGGTCGTGAAATGGACATGAACAACACACCCCAAAGATCAACAGTTACAAAAGATAACTTTGGAGGTGGGTAGGAATTCATGGACCTGTGGATTGCAGCACAGCTTTGCCAAATCCAGGGTGGCTTGCTAAGTGACTGTGCAGTGTATGGAGAATGTGATGGAGGGAAGATGGTCCTCCAACATCAATGAAGATGACCCAGGTGCAGGGCTTGGTGCCTTTTGGGCCTTCTCCAGCCTGTCTGTTAGCTTGTCACTCTTCTTCCCTTTGTCCTTATGAAGGGACTTGTCTTTGCCTGGCTTCCTAGCAGGCCCGGCCAAAGCTGTGGGCGATGACCACTGCTGAGCCATCAATACTAGTGTTCCACTGCACACCAAGACACTGATACTCAGTGCCGAGTCCAACCGCTGGTCCCGTGGAGCAAGTGTAGACTCCATTAAGAGCCCTCTAAGATGAATTCTTCGCTCTTTAATAGTTCTGGGAAGAAAGGGCCTGCAAATGTGACTCTTTTCCAAGATGTGACCTTTCCCCAGGCAACGAATGCAGTCAGTATTTGGATCTCTGACTGGCATGGGCCTGTGGCTCAAATGCAGGCTATGAAGCTGGGGGGGAGGGGAGCAAGGCCCACCTTCCCAGACAAAATCTATTTAGGAGAATCAAAGTTCAGCAATTTATGGGTACTTAGCAGTTCATTTAGAACTATCAACAATGCAAAGGGAGTGCCTGCTGCAGCCAAGGCTGGAGCACGCTGTTCCAAGCACCATCACTGGTCATAAGTAGGAACTGAGGAGGAAGGGGCTGGGGGGTGCCTTATATAGTGTGTCATGTGTGCACCACTCCAAAGAGTTGAGGATCCTGGCTCATACAGGTACTACATAGGGAAAAACTTCCAGACTGGTGCATGTGGCATGCACACACACCTATGTTGAATAGACATGAGCAGGCACTCTCAGAAGAACCAAAGCTGGCAAAATCAGGCAGGGGCGATCATGATGAGGCATGCCTTGTCCCTTGATCTTGGAGAGGAACCTTGCTGACTAGTGGGATTGGTGAAAAGATGCACATGAGACTGTCCACCCACGACAGTAGGAAAGCATCAGTTTTTCCTGCAACCATAGTCCCTGAGTTGCAAGGGGACTGAGATGTGCTCTCAAGTCAGGGTCGGAGGCACCTGACACCAGAGACACCCTGCGCCATGCAGCCATGAATGGAACTCCTTTCATTACTAGGTGTGGGTTACACCAGTGTTGGAGGGAGGCAAGAACTTGGGGGGGGGGGGGGGGGGGGAGAGGAACTAGCGC